GTCTGATCCCCAGCTCTGCTAGGTACCCCTCAAACTGTGTGGCCATGAACTGGGGCCTGTTGTCTGAGACAAAGGTGTCCGGTAGGCCATGGGTGGTGAACAACTGCCTTAGCTCCCTAATGTTGGTGTTGGTGGTAGTGGTTTTCATGAGTCTGATCTCCAACCACTTTGAGAAAGCGTCCACGATGACCATGAATACCTGCCCATGGAATGGCCAGCAAAATCTGTATGTATCCTGGACCAGGGACCCTGGGGCCATTCCCATTCCCTGACCGGTGCTGTGGGGGGGGTCTGGCCTAGACTCCTGGCAGGGCTGGCATTTCCCCACCCACTCAGTGATGTGATGTCCTTATCCATTAAGGGCCACCAAACGTAACTCCTAGCTAATCCCTTCATTCTCACGATCCCGGGATGCCCCTCATGCAACAGCTTCAAAACTTTTTCCCTTAGGCACAAGGGAACAATGACCCAATCGCCCCACAATAGACAACCCCCTTACATTGTCAGTTCGCCCTTTTTGTTAGCGAAATGTTTGAATTCCCCACCCTCAGTCTTTTCCGACCACCCCCTCGTGATCCAACTCGTGACTTTCCTAATCACGTGGTCTCTGGTTGAAGCCCTCACCACCTCTGCTAAAGTGATGAGCCCCGAGTCCAAGACGTCAATCAGCAGCACTGGAACTCCGGGTGTGGGGTCCTCTATCCTGTCCGGTAACGGGCAACGGCTGAGGGCGTCTGCGTTGCCCATGCTCACCCCTGGTTGATGTACCAGGTGATAGGAGTATGCTGCCAGGAAGATGGCCCAGCGTGTCATCCTGGGAGATAGGGCTGCCGGGGTGGGTTGGTTCCCTGCTATGAGACCCAGAAGGGGGCGATGGTCTGTGATGAGTTTGAAGTCTCTGCCGAACAGGTATTCGTAGAACTTCTTGACTCCTGAGACAGCTGCCAGGGCCTCCTTGTCAAGTTGACTGTAGTTCCGTTCGGCACTCAAAAGAGTCCGGGAGTAGTAGGCGATGGGCGCCTCTAGACCGTTCTGTAGTCAATGGCTCAGGACAGCCCCCACGCTGAAGGGGGACGCGTCACAGATTAGCACTAGGGGAAGCGTAGAGTTGTACTGAATTAGAAAACTCTCGGCTGACAGGAGTTTCTTTACGACAGCAAATGCGGTAGCCTCAGCCTTCCCCCAAACCCATTTGGACTTTTTGGCCAACAGTCGGTGCAGGGGCTCCGCTACTGTTGCCTTATCCCTTAGAAAAATTGCGTAAAAGTTAAATAGTCCCAGGAACGCTTGTAGTTCCGCCTTGTCTTTGGGGGTGGGGGCTTCTTGGATCACCCTAATCTTGCTCTCGGTGGGGTGTATGCTGGTTCCGTCTACCCGATACCCCAAGAACTCCACAGAAGGGACTGCGATCATGTACTTGTTGCGTTTGACCTTGAGTCCTGCACTTCTGAACTTCCTTAGTACGTGTCTCAGCCTCTTCCCTAGTTGCTGTTCATCTTCTGTGGTGATGAGCACTTCATCAAAATACGGGACCACCCCGGGGATCCCCTGTAACAGTTGTTCCATGGTGCTCTGGAACAGTCCTGGAGCTATGCTGACTCCGAATTGGAGTCTGATACACTTGAAGGCACCTCTATGTGTTACTGTAGTCTGTGCCTCTGCGGTAGCGCCATCTACTGGCAACTGCTGATACTCCTGCGCAAGATCGAGTTTAGCGAAGATCTTGCCTGGCCCTAGGGAATGCAGCAGATGGTGTACGATCGGAACCGGGTAAACGCTCTGTTGGAGGGCCTTATTGATCGTACACTTATAGTCTGCGCAGATGTGCACAGACCCATCTGGCTTAACGGGGATCACAATTGGGGTCTCCCATTGGGCATGATCGACTGGCACTAACACCCCCCTGCTTGATTAATTTGTCCAGTTCCACATCGATCTTGGGCTTTAGGGTGAAAGGTACCCTCCTGGGTTTCAGCCAGATGGGGGCAATATTGGGGTCGAGGTTGAATGAAATAGGGGTCCCCACATACTTGCCGGGTCGCTTGTTGAACACGTCCTGGAACTCCTGCATCAGGTCGTCCTTCAGGGTGCTTTGCACGTTGCGGACTCCGGTGAATCCCATGCCCAGGGCTCTGAACCAGTCCATGCCCAGGAGGCTTGGGAGCTTTCCACTGACTATGGTGAGGGGAAGCTTTTCCCGGAATTCCCTGTACTCCACCTGGAACTCACCGATTCTTTCCACGAGGGTGCGGTTCCCCTGGTAATCGCGCAGTCCCAGCCGCTGGTGTCGTAGTTGCCGTCTCTGGATGATGGGGACGGCCTTCTTTAGCTTGTACCAGGACATGATGGTAATGTCAATCTCCATTACGCACTCATGCCCCTCGATGTCGACCGTCGTGTAGGTCTTCTCTCCGGGGGATGTGCAGGTCCTGCCGATTCGAATGGTGCAGCCCTCGATATCCTCGGATTTCGTGCTCTTCCTGTAGCCGCCCTTCGGATTGGTTCTCGTCCGCTGCGCCATCTCTGATTGGCTAGTGTTCCGCGGCTTGTAATGGGGGTTCTGCTTGGCTCTGCAGACTCTAGCGATGTGCCCCTTCCGCTCGCATTGCCTGAAAATGGCGTCTCGGAACTTGCAGGTCTGGCTTGTATGGGGTTCCCCACAACTCGCACAGGCATCTTGGTGGCCTCGCTGGTCCTGCCGGTCCTGTTCGGTCTGGCAGACTTCCTCATCCGACTCTTCCTTGCTCCCCGTGCCTACGGTTTCCTGGTGGTTTCTGTGCCGTTCTGCTCTGCGTCGTCCCCTGTAGTCTCTCGGCTACCTTGGAGGAAGATTCGTGAGCCCTCACCTCGTCCAGTGCGATGTGTAGTGTGAGATTTGTCTTTGCGAGCAACCTTCTCTGCAAGCGAATATCTCTCCGCAGATTACTTGCTCTAGCAGCATCTCATCGAAGTCTCAGTACTCGCACTGGTTTGCGGCCTTGTGCAGGGCAGCGACGTACTCGCTGATCGATTCTCCCTCACTGGACAGATACATCCAAGACAGGGGTGAAATCTAAATTTTTTTGCTACCGGTTATGTGGGCGGGCCTTAATTAGTGGGCGGGGCTTGGTTACATCCAAGACAGGGGTACATCCAAGATACATCCAAGACAGGGGTGAAATCTAAATTTTTTTGCTACCGGTTATGTGGGTGGGGCTTAATTAGTGGGCGGGGCTTGGTAGTTAGATGACTGGGTGGGAGTGGCTTGTTGGTCAAGTCAACGTCACTTTGTTGCCCTTTTTTAACCTACAAAACACAACACAACACAACTGGCTCACCCACAAGGTAAAAGCAGCTGTGCTGGACCCAAAATAGCCCCTGCAACAAGCAGGAACCTCACACAGCCCCAAAAAGCCCAAAAAACCAACTTTCTTTCTTTCTTTCTTTTTTAATGCAATTTATTGAATTAAGAACATATTACAATTCAAACTAAACGGTTCGGCAACGTGTAGTCATATTGTATATTTACAAGTGCGGTATCTGTCAATTATCTAATCATTTATACAGTTTGTACAAAAATTCTTATGAGTAAAATTGATTACTGTTTAATTAAAGTACTATAGTATACAGGATTATCTAATCGTTGTGCATTATTCCACATAAGTATTAACTTTTGCATTTAATTTCTAGCCACCTATACCACAAATCCCAGATCGCATAGAATTCTGAATCTTCCTTTCCGTTTAACACATACGTTAATCTGCACATTTCTGCGCAGTCGAGTATCTTATTGACTATCTGTTCCTCAGTTGGTCCTTTTTTCTCTTTCCAATATCTAGCATAGGAGAGTCTAGCAGCTGTAATAATATGGATACTCAAATATTTCTTGTCCTTTCCAAGTGTTCGTTTTAGCACTCCCAGGAGATAAATTTCCGGGAGGAAGTTAATGTCCTCCTTTAATATTTCTTGGATCCATTTTTGTATTTTTTTCCAAAACTTCCTCGCTTCCGGACACGTCCACCACATGTGATAGAAGGTACCTTGGGGGTGGCCACATTTCCAACATTTAGGGCTTGTATTTGGGTAGATCTTGGCAATTCTAGATGGTGCTAAGTACCATCTATATAGCATCTTGTACTGATTCTCCTTATAGTTTATTGCTCTCGTCAGTTTGAGATTGCTATTCCATATTTCTTCCCAATCATCAAGATTTATCTTTCATTCGATGTTTTTCCCCCAAGCAATCATTTGGTCTTTTAATATTTCTCCTTCTCTATCATATTCGAGAAGGTAGGAGTATAATTTAGCTAATAATTTGGTCTCACTACCTAGCCATACCTTATCGAAACTATTTGTCCCCATCTCTATTCCCTTTTCTTGTTTATCCTTACTAAAGCGGGATTTAATTTGTATATAGGGCCACCAATCAATATGGATCCCTTGCTCTTTTAGTATCTCATTAGGTATAAGGTTGCCACTATTATCCAGAATATTTTGGTAAGTGACCATTTTCTCCCTGTCTAATGTATTTGGATGGACTAGAGCCTCCATTATAGATATCCATTTTGGGTATTTCAAATAATGTTTATGCCTGATTTCTTTCCATGTCTTCATTAATGTATCTCTAATTTTGTGTTGGTGGAAGTATATCCCCGTCCCTTTTCCTTTGTCCCAGAGGTAGGCATGCCAGCCTCTCGATAGGTCATGCCCTTCCAGTTGTAGGATTCTCCCAAAAAACCAACTTTCACACTTTACACGCACACCACACCACACCACACCACACAACACAACTGGCTCACCCACAATGTAAAAGCAGCTGTGCTAGATCCAAAATGGCCCCTGCAACAAGCAGGAACCTCACACAGGCACAAAAAGTCCAAAAAACCAACTTTCACACTTTACACACACAAAATTCCACATACAGCTTTGTGAGATTTTGTGTGTTTGTGAGTAGTGAGAGTGAAACACTACAGAAACACACAAAATCTCAGAAAGCTGCACAAATATTATTTTATTTTATTTATAAAACAGCTAAATTTAAAACTTCCTAAACTTTAAATGGCTAGGTCTAAAAAAAGAACAGCTATAAAAAACCCCAATTAACTATTTTTTTAAAGCTCCCAAAGGGGAAAAAAACTTGCAGGCAGGCAGGCAGGCAGATAGAGCTGCTCACCGATGAGCTTGATTGCAGGTAGGGAGATTCAGTTGCTTGCTGATGCAATGGATTGCAGGGATTACAGCAAGCGAAGCAAGGCAGGCGTTGCGACCAGCAGCTAAGGTAAGCAAGCTGGAGGCCGGGGGGGGGAGGGATTTTTGCTACCGGTTCTCCGAACTGCCCACCGCCATCACTACCTATTCGCCCGAGCCAGTCCGAACCGGGAGCATTTCACCCCTGATCCAAGATCTAATGGGAATTTTTGAAAATGTTTGTAATAACAATGATACACCTAATAAGAAAAGTACTGTTGATCTATAAACAATTCTTCCACTATGGGATACTGGGATAAAAAACCTTTATGGCTTAAATCTACAAAGTACAGTCCAGCAAAACTCCAAATAATCACACATAAATAGAAAGGTAATAAAAATTAATTTGGCTGAACATTTACTAACAATATTAATTCTTACTTTTGATTTTTTTAAAGCCAAACTGCATTAGCATTTTGGATATGAGATCACATTTTAAATAATATGGAAAACACATAATAGTTTGCTCTTACATTCCAGACTTTCCTTTGCAAACATATCTGGAAACATGGATTTTTTTCCCTTTGGTAAACATTAGAAAGTTAATATTCTATATCCATAGAAAGAAGCATAAGAATTCCTTTTTTCACCTTTTCTTTAATGGTGCTAGAATGTCTTTCAAGCCATATGCCTGTTGTAACTTTGCTGCTATGCCAGAATTACTTCAGCAAATATTCAGTCCTTCAGCTGATTTATTTTTACATGCTTAAACCTCTTGGTTTGGCAGAGCAATAAGGTGTGTCTGTTTTGCCTTTATCTTTTCCTTTATCTCTGTGTGTATTTTCTTGTACCTATTGTAATAATACACTGGAGTACATCCAAGACAAACTGTAATAAAAGAACAGGAAAAAAACAGACTTAATAACATGGGTATACGCAATGATGTTGAGCACAAAAAGTATGCAATAAACAATTCTTATTTTCACCATCACCTAATATTAAAACCAGTATATAGAACCCCTTCCTGTTCTAAAAAATGTACTCAAGTGCATTTTGCTGAAAATAAGTCTAAAAGAGAGGGAAAATTCAACTTAGCCTGAAGTATATTAAAAAATCATATTTTTACAAGATGCCTATTAGTCAAAATATTTGAAAACTGGGCTAGGACTGCTAAGGAATATTTTCTGGTCACATGTTAGTGCAATCAATAAATTTTATCTAGGATTCATAAGTTAGATTTTTTGACTTAGATTTAATCACATAATCTAAATACTCAGTTATTTAGCATGTAATGTTAGTCCCTATCAGATTGCATTCCATGCAAATGCTAATCATTCATGCTTGCATAGTGATTAAAATATTGATATACTTACAGACATACAATAGACATGATGCAACTATATTTGCCTGAATGACTTTAATTTAGTAGGGCTTTTGTATTATATTGTGTTGCACATGATACAGAAGTCATGTGGTTGTGAATTATCAAGAAAGGTTTCCCTTTTGTTTTTTTACAATATCCAACCTTTTTTTTTCCTTCCTAAAACTATTTTCTTATAATGGAAGAGCTCATAAGCAAATAGTATCTTTTGTTACTGTCAAGACAGTCTTGCTTTTTATAAGACACCAGATTGGCTTTTAAAAAGCAACCACCAAAAAAAGGCAACAGATGGGGAAGGTATGAAGGGAATTGTAAAGAAGTTTTTCACAGATTTATAAAAGGGAGAGGAAGGGTCAGATCAAGAGATGGACAAATATATAGAGGAGCTGCATCTTCCAAAAGTGTCAGAAGAGGTAAGACAAATACTTAATAGGGAAATTTCAGAGAAGGAGGTGGAAGAGGCAATTGGGAAGCAGAAATTAGGGAAAACTCCGGGACAGATGGAATACCTATGGAATTTTATAAGAAAATTTCTGATACAATGGGACAACATATGACCGAAGTTTTTAATGGAATTATTTTGGAGGGTCGGATCCCAAACTCCTGGACTGGGGCCTATATCTCCCTGATTCCCAAGGAGAAACAGATTCATCGTTGATCCACAATTATAGGCCTATATCCCTCCTGAATACTGATTATAAGATCTTCGCCTCAATCTTAGCGGGGAGAATGAATTTTGTTTTAAACCACTATATACAGTACATAGAGACCAGAATGGGTTTTTGCCGCACAGACAAATAAGGGACAATGTGAGGACGATAATAGATGCAATGGACTACTATGAGACGTTTGCAAATAAGGAAGTAGCATTTATTTTTATTGATGCTCAGAAGGCCTTCGACAGGGTTAGCTGGAAATTTATGTTTGCCTTGTTAGATAGGATGGAATTTGGAGACAATTACATACGGGGGGTAAGATCTATTTACTCAACTCAAATAGCTAGAGCTTTAATCAGTGGGGAAGAAACGGGCAAGATTGAAATCGGAAAAGGCATGAGACAAGGATGCCCACTGTCCCCACTTTTATTTATACTTACACTAGAACCTCTCCTAAGGGAAATTAGGAGGAATCAGGGAATAAAAGGGCTGAAGGTGAGATCTGAAGAATATAAAATTCAGGCTCATGCGGATGATTTGGTTTTTATTGTAGAGGATCCCTTAGATTCAGGTAAAACTTACTTCAGGAGGTAGAGAACTACAGTAGAGTTGCAGGTTTCCGAATTAACAAAGATAAGACGAAGACACTTCCGGTTTGCTAGCCTTCGGCGACGACGGTGCCTTTTTAAGGACCGCCAGCCCCGCCGCCTGTAGAGCCGCTTCGCGATCGAGAAGCGGCTCGAAAACTTCAAAATCCTGAGGATTGTTGGAGGAGAGATAGCAGGGCACAGGTCGAGCCCCGGTAACCCCCCAGGGAACTGTTTCTGGGGAGGAAACAGGTGCGGCTCCCTCCCAACCTGCTGAGACTCCGGGCGGCGTGGGACGATTCTGCCTTTGCAGAACAAGCCAGCTGCAGTAAACATTTAAAGCGAAAGGAACCAACCTTAACAAGCAGCGGATATACACTTGAACCCTGAAACTTGGAATCGCAAGTATTAGCGCTTTGTTGACTTTTCAATTTAAGAAAAAATGCGAATGAGTGAAAGTGACTTGAAAAAATATGGCGCTCAGCATTAGAGTTAATGAGCCAGCGAGTGTGGATTAGTGAAGTCATCTTGCTTTGTTACAAAGTTATCAAGTTGCTACAAAGTTGCTTCGCTTGTAACAAGAGAAACAAGAGAAAAATTCCTCTTTATTAATATTTGACTTTGCTTTACTCCAGTTCTTATTTGATTAAATCTGGGGGACTTTTTTAGAAGTCTCTGTGGAGGTGGGAAAGGAAAAGGGACTTCCCTCTTCAGAAAAACTAGTTTACGTGGCAGGATGGCCTCAAAGAAGCAGGAAGGGAAGGCAGCAAGGGGGGGATCCCCCACACACAAACGTGAAACGCAGCTTCCCCCTGCTCAACAGTTACAGACTCAGAAAAAAGATTTTGATGTTGGAGATTTAAAAGAATTTATTTCTTAAAGTTTTGGATGATAAATTTCAAAAATCCCAACAGGAAATAGATGATAAACTTCAAAAGTCTCAACAGGAAATTATGCAGGAAATTAATGAAATTAAAGATATGGTGAAACAGAATCATAGCAAGGTGACTAAAAAAATATCAGATGTGGCGTCTGGCCTTGCAGAATTTATTATTAAAGTTGACTCTAAAGTGGAAGAATTTAAATCAGAAGTCAATGTTAAGATGAAGGACAATGACTATAAAATTTCTGATGTTGATAAAATGCAGAGAGTTGAAAATGAAATTGTTATGATGCAATTCAGGGCAATGGAATTTGCCATAAGGCTTCGAGGAATCAGAGAAGATGACAGACAGGATTTGAGACAGACCTGTGCTGAGGCTCTGGCAGTGATTTTAAAAATTAATCCTGATGTGGTTTTTTACAAAATAGATAAAATTTACAGAGTGAATTCTTGGGTGGCCAGACAAAGACAACTGCCTAGAGATGTGGTCATATATTTTACGGACAGAGCAATAAGAAATGATATCCTGCAAAAATCTTTTCATACTTCTGTGCAAGTGGGGGGCTCACAAATTGGAGTCTACAAAGAACTACCACCTAAAATGTTGAAAGCCAGAAAAGATTTTGGCTTTCTTGTTAAAGAATTGCAAAATCAACAGATACCATTTCGGTGGGATGCCCCAACTGGCATAATTTTGAAATACAAGGGAGAAAGACATTGTTTGAACACTGTGGAGAAGGCTGAGCATTTTTACACTACTATTTTCAAAGAAAGAACACCATCTCCACGTACATCCACAGTTCTGGAGATTAAGGAGAGTGATAAGAAGCAACTTCAACAAGAACCGCAAGAACAGTCCAAGCAGGAGCCAGAGGAAACGCAGGGTGCTGAAGGAGGTTTTCTGGATGAGCCTTTGTTGGAATCTTCTCCAATCTTGGACCTGGTTCGGATGGCTGAAGTTAAGGATCAGCCTATAACCCGAGCAAAATCTAAGCAATTTAAAGAAAAGCAACAACAGGAAAGACAAGATAAAAAGGGAGCTAAGAGTACTACACAAGAGACTGGAGCCATGGGGGGAGCGAGACCGAAGATTTCGGAAGACATTCGGTTATTCTGCTCTTTGCTTCAGAAAGATAAATAAAGATGACGATTAAGTGTTTATCTTGGAATGTGAATGGGTTGAATTTAGCACAGAAAAGGAAGAAATTATTTGCATATTTGAAACAATTTAATAATGATATAATTTGTCTACAAGAAACGCATATCACAACTCAAGATCAAAAGTATTTGATAAATTCCAAATTAGGAACACATTTTATATCTTCAACTTCGCAAAAAAAGAATGGTGTGGTTATTTATGTAAATAAAAAGTTAACAGCTAAAGTTATAGAAGCAGATGAAGATGGTAGGTTTGTAGCAATTGAATTGCTTACAGCAAATGGCCAAATTCTTCTGATTGGAATTTATGCTCCCAATCAACAACAGGACCATTTCTATAAAATGTTACATACTAAAATACTGCAATGGGATTACAGATCTATTTTAATTATGGGAGACTGGAATGGAGTAATTGATTCTAAATTAGATAAAAAGAGTTTGGCGAAGTCTAGGATCAGATTACCACAGACTTTTTGACATGAAAGAAGATTTGGAACTAAAAGATATTTGGAGAATACATAATCCGAAAGAATTGGACTATACTTTTTTTTCCGACAGACACAGATCCTTCTCTAGGATTGACTTTATTTTGTTGTCAGATGATTTACTTGTCAAGACAAAAAGAACAAAGATTTTTCCAAGAACTTTGACCGACCATAGCCCAGTATGGATAGAAATTGAGATAGACAAGACTGAGAGACGCTCGTGGAGATTAAATGAGAACTTGTTCAGATATGAAAAAAATATAATAGAATTTAAAAAGCATTTGAAAGAATTTTTCGAAATAAATTTGAATAAAGGTACCCCAATTGAAATTGTGTGGGATGCAAGCAAAGCTTATATGAGAGGGGTGCTTATTTATATGAATTCTAAACATAGACTGATTCGACAAAAGAAAAGATCTGAATTGGAAGCAGAAATAAAGAATAAAGAACAGTTATTTATTAAAAATCCAACAGATGAAAGAATACGTAGTTTTATAAAACTTTTGAAAGACCAATTTCAAATGCTTATGGCGGAACAAGTTGCAACAAACTTACAATATGCGAAGCGTAACACATTTTGTAATGCCAATAAACCGGGCAGATGGTTGGCCTACACATTAAGGAAAAAACAGAGTATACGGACTATTGATAGTATTGATATTGGAGGGAAAGAAATTTTTCAACAAAAATTAATTAAAGAAGCTTTTGTGGACTATTACACTAAATTATATGCTAAAG